CACAACTTTACCGGAGGGTCAAATGTCTTTGCATTCCTCCATAGGTTGTTCTTCTATTGCAAACATTTATGGAGTACTCTAATCATATTTCTTGGAATCAAACTGTCACTGATACGTCGCCAGACTTCTGATATCTCCCCTTCTGCTACAGTTGTCCTGTGAATAAATAATAGAAAATTGAGGTTAGACGAATAGTTGAAAGTTTTGTTTTATGTCGGCCTAATTTCTCTCGGCCTCTTGTGCTGCAGGAGTCTCACAATGCTTAGACAGGTCTGTCCACAACTTTCACATCTGTAGGAGAGGAGATTTATTAATTTTCGTTAAGAATAAATAAAGCAGTCTATATGATTCAGAATGGAAAAGCTAATAAATCCAATATCTTATGTTTTTTGTAAAAAATGTTTTACTGAATTTGGTATATAAACCAACTAATAAAGGGGTTTAGTCAGAAAATTATAAGCATCGGTGGCTCCAAATACTTGAGAGATCAGACTATACAATATAGACCGGTATGAGTGAAATTTTAGGTGAACTTGTTAACCCTTTGATTCAATACGCAAATAAAAGTGAATGAGCAATAGTATGTTACAGCAATAAGTATATATCCTCACTGATTAAAAAAATCTAAATGGAGGTGCATGAACTATTTGAAACCATAAGGGGTAAGTAAATATGCAATTTCGGCAGATGGCCAACTACGTACCGTACTGAATTATAAACTTCGTAGTATTTGACAAAAGCTGGCTTTCCCGCATGTACTTAACAGTGCGATGCCCGGGTGTGATATACAACAATAGTATTTACCTTACTTTTTTCCGATTTCTTTTTACCTTCAATTTTCCAAATATAATTAAAAACCACAACAACTATCGAAGCAGGCTCGAACACCATTCGTGCTATGCCTTGAAAGCAACACACATCCGCTCGTTTTCGTCTCGTCAAGTATGTGCATTGGAGCGTGCTATCAAATACGATCTTCGGCCAAAAATGCCGGAGTTGCGCATCATGTTGTTTAATGTCATTGATTTGACAGATAAAAACAAATAAATAAAAACTGATTATGAAATCAGGGTAGCAAACGAAACCTTAGATAAGGTTTATTACGTACGAAATATAAGATGGAAGGTTTTGCCAAGAGGAAGTGGTACGTGTTCACTCACCTAAAATTATTAAGTTATTTCACACACGCTCACACGGGTTGGGAAGAGTTGGAGCTCCCCGTTTGAAGTGTCCCGATACTAAATTACATCTATTAGCAATTTATTTTTCCTCCATACTGGTAATAAATTTGCAGCCAAAATAAAAATGAATTTGTAGCGAATGTTGATTGAACGAGGAAAAATAAATATCTGAATCTGATTGTAACTATACATTATAATGTTATTTAACCCCTTTATATTAATAGTATGTTGAACTCTAAGCTATCCTAGCTGCTTCCGTGATTAATAGCTATCGTGGCAGCTACGAGCCTTGGTTTTTTGTGTATTAGAGTTCTTTTGTATCGACCAATTTTGATTACGTGTGTTTCCAGCCTTCGTTCCGGAGTTGAAATATTGTGTGTTTTTCATGTTCTTATGATTTTGCCTGGGATTCGACCGTATTTCTGTATTAACGTTGAAATGTATATATCTGTTTGTATTGGATCGTGCATCTTTACAATAAACGAACATTTGGCATTCAATACATGTAGTGGTGGGATTCAAATTTTTTGTCAGCTGGTTCAATCACAAAAGTCATATTTTTCGACCGGTTCTGATATAAAAAAGTGTTTTTTTAGTAATGCTAACCGGTTCGCTGATCTAATAAAATTCCGCGAGACAGTTCTATAGAACCGCTGCTAACCGGCTGGTCTCCACCACTGAATACATGTGTGTTCTTTGACGTCTGGTAAGTTCAGATCGGAGTTACACCTAATTTAACGTGTGTCGACCCGATAACAGGTGAGTGAACACGCAGATAGGGTCATTCTCCCCTATAAAGTGAAAATGGCATTTCAGAACGAAAAACTAATACTGGTTATCACGTACCGATCAATAGCCGCGGTTAAGCGTTAGCAGTAATTGAAACAAAAGTAGAATTTAATAATTATATAAAAATAAATATGGGTGACAATTGCGTTTTGAGACAGACTTATTCCGCCAAACGCATTCTAAATAACGTGAAAGAGGATTAGGTAATTGTCATAATTTAAATCAGGGGTGTGCAACCTTTTTTATTGGCGGGCCAAATACAAGTAACTGGGTGAAGCCGCGGGCCGCACCTTTATTTAATTTAGGCTTCCTGGTAGTTGCAAGCACAAAAATTGCCTATATTTGCTATTGATCTTACGGCATTATTAGGGGTTCTTGCAGAAATAGTGATTTAAAACGCATAAACTTCTGAAGAAACTGCTATTTAAATTTTTTGTCACACCGACTTCAAACGAATGCATTGAGAAACACGTTTTTGTAATATAAATCGTGTATTTTGCAACAGAATTTTGCTAGCTTGTTTTGCTAATATGACTGGTATGGGCTTTGCGACGAAAAAAAATAAATACTCGTTTTGCGGGTACACCATTCGAAATTGTTATTTCTCCGCGGGCCGCACAACTTCTTCTTGCGGGCCGCATTTGGCCCGCGGGCCGCAGTTTGCACACCCCTGATTTAAATCATGGATTTAAACTGAAATTAGACAATTATATTCTTGAATATATACAATATCAAACATGTAGGCCTATTCAGAAGCAGAGTATGCCGTATCTTTGTAAGATCAAGAAATAGACAGCATGTGATCGGAAATTACTTCACAACAACTAGTAAACAACAAGAAGATCCTTTTAATAATCCTCTTATTTTTAGCATTGGCGGGAAAATAAATTACTGATTAGTATTATCTTACGCATGTTCAAACTTCGAGTTTCGGCAACTGTTTCTGAATTTTCGTCTTGCGTGTTATTATTTTTACCACCATGTGGTTTAATCAGTGGCGTATTTACAAAAATGGCGCCTATGGCAAAGTTTTAAAATCACCCCTCGATCGCTGACTTTACAATTTCAACCACTGTTGTTGAATTGAGATACTTGTACGTTATTAATTAAGTAAAATACCAGTTGAAATGATTTCCAATTTGGAATTATCCCATTGAAACATTGTACTTTTATAACGTTTCGCCATCTTTGCGCAATCAGTCAGTCAGTCAGTAGGTTATTTTTCACCAAAATGAAAATGCACTCGCAGTGAACATAAACTTAAAAAAAGTTGAAAATTACATTTCATGGCGAAAGGTGACGCGAAAAACCAAAGTTGATTATCGAGCAGCGACAAATGTGATGAGAGTCTAACTTTGATACAAGTTTAATAGAAATAAGACGAACAATATATGTATAAATTAATATATCAAATATTAAAGTCCAAAATCCAAATTTGTTACAGAAAAGAGACTCCGGGCACCGTCAAGTACGGGAGGGGTAACCATGGGCAGCAAACAGCATAGCAACGACCAAAGTGAATATCACCTTGGCACAGTGACAGACAGGCTCTGTACAGTCATAGCCCTTATTTTGCTCGAGTCATGGCTGCCATAACCTAGATAAGCCACCGGGCTCAATATAAATTACTTTTGTGCTTTTTTTCTATTACGTTGAGTAATTTTTCCCTAATGTTGGAATCTCTGAACCACAGATACTCACTGGTTGGAATCTTTCTTTGTATGATTGTGTTTTACGTAAATGTTTAATATTGAGTTGTTCGGTTGTTATATTTTCATCTTCAAGTTAGGTGTCGCTGACTAGATGGCTCAGTAATCAGTAATTTATCTTATTACCATATTGAAAGCACACTTAATTTACGAATTGAAATCAATAATTGAAAAGCATTTCAGGGTGAGGGGAACCGCGAGAAACCAATTGAATTTGAACTCAACATTTCAGCGATCCGCGGCAAGCTATCAGGCAATGTCGTGCATGTGGAGTAGTGAGAATAGTCAACCTTAAGATAAAAACCAACAGCTATAAGTTAATTCCGGTTTTCGGTGCAGTTCGTCTCAGTGGACGGGGCGTTTAACGTAGCTTTGTTGTGTCATCTTCGATACAACCAATTGCTCGCCAATAACAGGTCACGAAAAATATTATCCAATCATGTCCGCTTTGACGTAGACAATTTCAAAATGGATCCCATTGTGTCTGCAGTTTGTTTATGTTACACAAGTTAGACGCCATAACGAAACTATTTTTATTTTTTAAAATATGTTTGTATGTGTGATATGGGTAAACGGTATTTCTGCGTGTTTCAAACTCTACTTCACATTTTGCTCGTTTTTTCCAGACTTTTCTGAGTTCATTTTACTTATTGATCTTGATCGGTAAGTATGTTGATAGGTATTTGTGCACTCCTGAAGTATGCGCACCAAGATGCCGCACAACATTAACCCTAACCTGGTACACAACCGGAGTTCAGGTTGTGCGCCATTTCGGTGAGCATACTTCAGGAGGTCCGGTATTTGTCCGTCTGTTAGATTGACGCGATAACTCACGAAAGCGAGGTTTAATCTCCTCCAAATTTTGCATGTGCATTCATCATATCTCGAAGCCTATTGATTTTGGATGAATTATGTCGTATAATCAGCGAGTTATTAATTAATTAGTGATGTGACACACGGTGTCGCTATGGAGTAAGAGTAAGTAACTTTTGATCGGTAAGTCTTCGGTCTCCGACCGATATTCTCGTTTATATTTTGTGTGTTCATTCTTTGTTTTTTCAGGAAAATCAAAATAAACTTAATAAGTAATTCTAAATCATAATGCTTAATAACCAGCTTTGGTCCCGGCGGCTTTTCTTTCCAGTAGAATTATGAAAAGAGAGGGATTAATTCTCGACATTTCCGCATATTCCAATTATTATCGTTTATTACTTTGCTGGTTGGTTTATCGTTTATTACTTTGCTGATTGACTATGACTATTACAAACATAAATACTCCATATCTGGTTATACTTTACGCGGAAATGAACACAAAATGGCATAGTTGTTTCAAACCTATATTACTTGAACTAATATACAATACCAATATAAGTAGTATTCAATAAAAGAAATATGCATCTTGATTAATAGAAAATAATTTAACCATTCAAATTAATTGATTAGAAGCTCATTATTCAAAATTGTGCACATATGCAGCCTCCATTAGCAGTAATAAAACTGAAAAACTCAAACTGAACCAAACTTGGCACAAAATTTTTTACCCCCCACTCCCAGGTTTAAAACAAAAATACTGAAACTTTATCTACTGATTTCTGATACAAAACAGAAATTTGGAAAGCATTTCTATTTCAGTTAAGTGTTTAGGCTAGGGTGGTCCAAACTCAGGCCCTACGGGCCACATGTGTGGCCCTCCGCTTCATTATCTGAGACCCACGTCACATTTGGAGAGTTATCAATAAATCGCATTTTGTGTTGTTTCTAGATAAAATGCGGATTCTATTAGCCTGGGATGGCTATGTCTGATATCTTCTATGTGTTTGCACAATGACAGTGTTTGTTTTGTATTGCACTGTTTACCCATTCTTGGCACTATGGTGACCCGCGAACAATGAAAAAATAAAATTGTGACCCGCAGAGCCGACAACCTTGGACCACCCTGATTTACGGCCACCCAAGGAGTTTTAATTTGGAAAATTTGAAATACTGAATGAATATGGCGCAGGGTTGTGAAGACATGCAATATACTACTAGACCAAAATTTACAATTGACCTCAACTCTGTGTTGAAAATTTTCCTGAATGCCAGAGTAAAAACCTCTGGTAATGTTTCTCATACATGGCATTTTACATATACAAAACGAAAAATTTAAGCGGCGATGGTGCTAATATGAGTGGTTGCAATTATAGCAGGTTGGGTGGTGTTGTTCACTACAGTAGAATTACTACTATCCATCCAGGGGGAACACTTAATTGAGCTGAAAAAATATAATCTAAAACTGAGTGAAAAAGCAAAATGTAGGACGAAAACAACTGCCAGTACAATCATTGTTCGTTTAGTTCCTTCCTCGCGCATTTTCGGCCAGAGGCTAACGATAATCACCATGCCAGAAATAACCGCTGTTATGACAACAAGAATCCACTCAACCGTGCAATTCGGAATCAGAAGTAGAAACGAGAGAGGGATGAACATGAACATCGAGTAACCGTATAAGCATAGAATGTCGAGGTACCCATAACTGGCTTGCATTTTTGTGAAAAATAATATTCCACGAATGACTAATGGGATCAGAAAAGTGTATCCGTAAACGATCACCATCGCAATTACGAGACGATGAAATTCCGGATTATAGTTGTAATTCACGTCAGAGAAGTTGTTGAAATAGGTTGTCAAATTCCCACATATAGCTATCGTCATAACAAGCGTTGCGCAGATCCAGAAAGGCCCATAGACATCGGGATTTCCACCGATATAATTCCTATGGTAATCAGCGCTCGGAATAGGCAGAACTGAACCTTTGATTCTTCCCAGAACAACGTACGTATCGACATCAAATAATTCCTTGTAGAAATCGAAACTCCATATCGGCGACGATTTCTTATTCACCAACTTTGCGGAATCGCCACCAGTCTCCTCATCATCTTCTTCATCGACCGCAGATGATGGAAATTTCGTGAATGTGTGAGTTTTACCGTCATTTGAGCTACTCCCCACAGATACCCCCTCTAGTGGTTGATCAATTTTTCCATCTGTTTCCCATAAGCTGTACTCGTCGGAAGTATTTGAAGCCATTATAATGTTAGTAACAAAACTAGTTATTTCTTATAACTATATCTGTAAGTAGAAGAAATATTTTTAAACAAGATTTAAGGATTTTAAATTTTCACCAACATTTTAGATTAAACACCAATATAGTTATTTCTCTGTAAATAGTAAATTGAGCATCTCTTAAACAGCAAAACCTCACCCTAGGAGCATAGGATAGGATTTACATATTCATCCCGGGAGAAAGGAAAGCTGATACGATGGCTTAACCCTATCCCGAACCGCGGCCTTTCGTTCGGTTACCATTCCATGTCGGGTAAGGAATTAATTAGTTATTTGTATTCGGAAGCCAGGACTTGATGGTGGAGGAAGCCGTAACCGACCAGCGGTTACGTGAACCACCCTACGGCGACGAGGAGTCCAGAAATCCTCTCGCACATAACAAACCCCATATAGTATTCGAATCTGCGAACCCACGTACAGTAATCAGAGGTGCGGTGACAAGCGTATTCCTAACGCTTAGCACAATGACACTCATACTACATATGCACGCCTACATGACAAGATTTTCTAGTCCGAGTGGGTGATGTACATTGTGTTGGAATTAAATTAGTGCTAGCTAATGTGGCCAACATGGCACCATCATTGAGCAATCCATGGATGATAATAGGTACGTGGCAAAGTTTTTATGCCATGATGCTTCCCATATATACAATTACTATTGAGCAACACTTCAATACCAAATATAAAATAAAGATCAAATTTACTAGAAAATTGGGTACTCATGTAGTATGTGAACCAAGATGGTTGACACCGGAACGTAGTATGTGTACCAGGTTAGGCCATAATTTCAGGTACAAATACTACAGGAGTCATTTGGATAGTCCCCGAACTCGTAATAGAAATAAAATAAGCAAAATTAGAATAAAATTATGTCCCAACCTGGTACACAAACTACATTCCAGTGTCTGCAATCTTGGTGCACATACTGCAGGAGCGCCAAAAATTGTTATACCGGTAAAATTGTCATGCAAAGGCTTCCATGCATATGCTATAAATCCACACACTAACATATACAAAATAAGCGCAGTCCAGTCAGAGAAAAATAAAATCTAAATTGCACATTAATGTAGTCAACTTCAAGGGCAACCAAGTTAGGCAATATAAAAAATAAAATGGTTAAAACATGCGATGAAATACTATGTTCACTCACAAAAAAATTTGGTGCAACTTTGGCATGCAGTGATTTTAGTATTTACCTAACCTAACTGGATATGATAAGATTTACATATTTATCCTGGGGGAGAGGAAAGCCGATAATACGGCTTAATCATATATGGTGAAACGCAGCCTCTTGTGCAGTTACCAGTACATGTCAGGTATGGGATTAGTTAGACAGTTATTTGTTTTAGAAAACATTGACTTGGAGGTGGAGGAAGCCGAAGCCGTCACATAGTTTTATCGCATAGGCCTACTGAAGTGACCACAAACCTTTTAAGTCAGCAATGCAATAAAAACGCTGTGATTTTTTTTGGAAGTTTCAAACTCTCGACATATTCTTGCCGAACCATGCCTTTCTTTTTTATAATCAAACATCGTATGAACCATCTAGATAAATTTAACAACGAAGGTATATTTTGTACTAGGTCTCCTTCCGAGAAATTTTCCTCTGTTGGTTCTGACTTTCCGAATGAAATTGTCAAAAACGGAAAATAATTTAAACAGAATAATATTCCAGGAATGTCTCTTTTTAAACTCGAATCATTTTGAAAATTTTTATGTTTATTAATTATGGATTCTACATCAGGAGACATGCCATATTCAAACCGTATTTCTAAAATTCCTGCATTTAAAAATTGTTTCAAAGCTTCGATGTTTAAATCAGCAAATACGTCAGGCAAAAGATAAATTTCGACAATACATACACTTTCATCAAATTTTGCCAATTCTTGAAATTCAGTTCCATGGTTATAAAGAATTTTTATTGTTTCTGCGCAAAATTTATCTGGGCACTCTTGTAGTAAACAGACCCACACAAGCGTATCATAAATTTTCGTTGTTGAATCAAATGTGGGGAATCCCCTGTCAAACAAATGGATCAAACAATTCGTATTTCCGTTCAAAGCTGCATGAATAACAGCATTAAGACCTTTGTCACGGGGTGTACCATCCGCTAATAATTTAATGATTTCAAAATCCCGATAGTCTACGGCTATATCCATAGGAATGCATGGCAATTTGGGATACAATATCTGACCGTAATCTGCAGGCTTCGAAGCGTCAGCCCCGTTGTCAAGCAGACAGCGTACTATTTCAACATATCCTTTTACTACCGCTAAGAATAACGGAGTACAATCGTCATCATCATAAGCGTCTATATCACGTACTTTATCAGCAAGAAGTTTCACGATTTCATAATTATTTTTCCAAACGGCAAGATACAGAGGTGTGCGACTGAAAATACATGTTGTATTAACATCAGCTCCATTTTGTAATAAAATTTTCGTACCTTCCAAATTCTGTTCTTCGACTGTAAAATGTATCGGGTGCATCTGCCATCCAGAAAGTTCCATCACATTAATACACTGAGGAAGTTTTTTCACAAGCACCTCAATACATTTATTATGTCCATGCCTGCATGCTTTGTGCAAAGGAAATCCCATTTTGTTTACATGTACTTCAGCTTTTCGATAAATATCAGCGAAAAAATCGACAATTTCATAATGTCCTTGCATAGCAGCAAGAGATAATGGTGTACTACAATGATACACACTAGGTGATAACACCTTCTCTAATACTTCAGGCACGGAGTTATAATCCGAATTCGCTTTTTCAAAAATTATTTTCACACATTCAAAATGTCCGTTATAAGCTGCATGGTGTATAGGCCCCCACCCTTCTTTATCCTTCTCATTATAATCCTTCCCATGTTCCAATAATTCTTTCAATACTTCAATATTCACAGATTTCACAGCTGTATATACATTAGTACAGTCATCTGACTGTCCTGACAAATTCATTACTAAAATTTTAAATGAATCTGTGAAAAATGATATATATGTAATATATGAATTGTTATATACTGCATAATGACAAAAAAATTAAAAGAAAATGTCAGCCATAACAGTTATATGAATTAATTGGTAAATACTGCATCAGCATAATAAAAATTTCGTAAATCAACAACTTTAGGGAGTTACTAATATTGAAAGCACCAAAATTTTTTTTTTCAGCGTTGCCATCCCAATTTACGGCACATGGTTTGACCCAGAAAATTATATGAATTGACAAAGCATAATAAAAAATATAAGCATGAAAAATAAATTTTAATAAGATTCGATTAAATGGAATATAGATACAAATACATTACAATCCTTGATATACAGCGTGTTCTTGAATCTTGGAAACATTTTAAATTTAAAAAGCATCTAAGGCTGCCATGTATATATTTTTTGCCCCCAAAAGCAAGTGCAGTTATGACGTCGCCACAAAACCATGGCAGGAATGCCAAACCATGGTGGCTGACTTTTGACTGCCACAAACAATGGCGTGAGACGGGGTACCAGCAAAAGCAAAGTTTGGGACTTTACGAACACACTTTATATACATGTTGATTAGTTTTTCTGATTGTTATGACATTTCATGGCAAAAAGTCTGTTAAAAAGTTCAAGTGATGTAATTGCCTCATGTTTTCCGTTTTTCCTAAGATCATCATCAAAATCTAACTCGTCTAACGAAACGTCGTTATCAACGTTGGCAAAATACACAAAAGATCTTCTTGGCTTCATTTTTCGAGATTCGTCTGTTGGGTTCACCACTCGGTGGACTGTTGCTTTCAAACGCTGACCGCTCCAATAATGCAGCATCTCACCGACATTAACGAGCATTGTGCCAGGAATAGGTCTCACGTCAACAAAATTTCCGTCTAAAGTTTTTACTTGTAGTCCGCCAATATCATCTTGGAACAGAAAGGTTAACGAGCCAAAATCAGTGTGTTCTCCACATCTAATCTGGTTTTCAAGTATTTCAACGCCAGGTCCCAAGGCAGGATAGTTTATAAATTTAAAGCATGATGTGTTGCCATCTTTGCCAACTAATTCATGTGACTTGGCGAACAAGTTTTTATCGCTTAATCGCATTGCCCGTCCGAGAGCTTTCAAAACTCTCATCAGCAATATTCTACATAAACGTTGCATTTCCGTCACTCTTACTTTCAAATTGTCGACATCAGGCCACTCGTTGTCTCCCATATTAGCAGGGAAGCGAATGCCCTCGTTCATATCATGCGGTCGTTCCAAATTTGCTTGGAAAGATTGATAGTTATCGTAGCAAAGCCCGATACTTTTTGAAGCAAACTTCATCTTATACTCGAGAGAATGGGAGAAAAATTCCTCGCCGACTTTATTCAAATCTTTTATGATTTCATCTGGAATACCATGATTAGTTACGTAAGCAAAGCCTGAGGATGAGAACGCTTCATATAACTTTTTCCCAATGTCAAATAGGTCAGCCTCCGAGACTTTTTCTTCGCTTTCCACTGTTAGTCCACATCTTGCAATATCTACTATTGGTATATTCATTTTAGAAATCTAAGTTACAGAATACAGTTGAACAAATTTAGTTATCATGCAGTCTTGAAAGGCTGTTGAACCGACTGTCTTTATAGCAGTCCGATAGCATTCTATAGATGAGACATTCAAATAGCGATCGAGGCCATAATATATCAATCCCTATTCCTAATTAACAACCCAATAACCCTCTACAAATGAGGCCATTCATATGTGATTGTGACAATATATCAGGGGTGACGAACCCATTTGCTGTCGCGGGCCACTTTATCAGTCACCGTGAGTGAGCGGGCCGGGTCGCACAATTTTTAGTCGTACTACCGTTTGATACCTGTTGATTTTCATCTATAAAACAAACAATGGCATCCATACCGCTGATGTTATTCAATTATATAATGCAATATAAACGCTCAGCTCGGATGTTCGAGATCCGAATTTCCATTCGAATACCACAGCATTTGTAACACGAAAGTTTGAGTCTACTACCTGCGTGTTAATGCAAAATCAATTTTCAATGTACTGATTGAAATAAATTGTAGTCTTTGATATTTTATAGCAGATCTAGGGATTTCTCGGACGTTGATATAAATATTTAGTGATAGAGACAGTCAGTGATGCAAGAACATCATATTTGTATATCATATTTGGGTGTCGCTGCTCGGTAACCAAATTTGGTTCCCTGCGGCTTCCCTTCCCTAGTAAAAATGTGTGTTAAATTTTGTTTATTTTTTGATTTTGTATGTTATTTTTTTGCTGGTTGGAAAAAATAAAATTGACTATGACTATTGGCTATGTATAACTAATTCGTAACATTGCAAAAATATGAATCAAAACTAAATATAATCTGGCAGTTGGAAACACTTTTAATGGCCGTAGATTGATGTGATATTTTATCATAGTAATGTTCTTAATTTGTAGACGCACCCGCATATTGCATTAAACACAGAGTTAAAGTTAGAAAGCAATAAATTAAAAATAGACTCCTAATGGTCGCCATAGAAATACTTTGCACAACTGCAAAATCGCTAAACGACAACATAACATAACAGTAAAAAACATTATTCGTCGAAAAAGTAGGCTCTTTTCACGAGTGACCTGCCTAATTGCGTCGACGGTTGCATAAAAATTTAAGGATTCGTTACGATTTACCCTTTCCCCCAATGATAATATCAACCTACGCATTATCGAATCTTTCTTCATGACATTTTGTGTCGCGTTAATATGCAAAATTCTAGTTGATAATGCCTCAGAAAAGTATTTCGGGATCCTTTGTACAAAAAAATTCCTTATAAAAAACACCGCCTCCGCTCAAAATTGAATGTAAATTATAAATAATTCAATTACATTTTTAGAGTGGGTGGGGGCTAAGAATCCAGATTGCGTCGGAAATTCAAAACCTCAAATCCATTGTTAGAGGTATCGAATATCGATGATCCAAAAAATTAGATGTGATGGAAATAGTGTTGTTGCCAGTAATATGAATACGATAACACTTGCACTTCCGTTCTCTCTGTACAGTTCTTGGAGGTTTGTGACTTTACACCAAACATACACTGAATTGTCTGAATGCTTCGTGGGCCGCACGAAAGTCCTTGGCGGGCCGCAGGTTCGTCACCTCTGCAATATATCCATTCCTAACCTACTGTCTGTCTATAAGGCAGCTCAATGAGCAAAATACTATATGAAAAGAATTAACGAGATAGCGATCAGAGAACGCCGACTATCAATCTAGCGGCGTGTATTATTCGCTTTGACTCAATAGCGACACCGCATGCCCCATTACTAATTAAATAATAACTCACTGGTTATATGACATAATTCATCCAAAATCAATAGGCTTCTGGTCCGAGATATGATGAATGCACATGCAATTTGGCGCAGATTCAACCTCGCCTTCGTGAGATATCGAGTGTATCTAACAGACAGACAAACACCTATCAACATACTTACCGATCAAGATCGATAAGTAATAACATCTCAAAACTCTTCTTAAATATTTCCGTAGACTTACAGGATTTCCTATATTAAAGGGTACATATAGAACAATTCCTAAACTGCATGTTTATACTTCTGTGGAGCGAATCGAACCAAATTTCCTGTAATACATTCTATGAAAAATCATGAAACATCCGCCAGGCAAACTTTCAAATTTAACATACAATGTCAATGATAGGATTTACATTTTTATCCCGGAAGAGAGGAAAGCCAAAAAGACGGCGTAACCATATGGCGAACCACGGCCTCTCGTCCAGTTACCATTCCATGTCGAGTATGGGATTAGTCAGTCATTTGTTTTCGGAAGCATGGACTTGATGGTGGAGGAAGCCGTAACCAACCAGCGGTTACGTGAACCACCCATTGGCGGCTAGGAGTCCAGCAGTCCTCTCGCACATAACTATCCCCGCATGAGATTTTAACCTGCGAACCCAAGCAGAGTAATCAGAGGTGCGGTGGCGAGCGTATTCCTAACACCTAGCACGATGAGCCACACCGCCGCGCCGAATAAAACTAGATTTGTGAAAGCAGAAAATAACATCATGTGACTCAATAATTGCATAATATCCAATATTGCAAGTCTTATACAGCAGTGCTTCCTAAACTTATTCAGTTGGTGACCCACTTTGTTGGCATTTTTGCTGTGATGAGATGTTAATGTATGAGAAAAAATGTAACCCAATGCAATTTACTATCAATACAAAACTTAATCTTGTGTAATTAGGAAGGCCAGGGTTTCTCAACGCCGGGGCCCAAAACTGACTCGCCTGCAGAATTACTCGAGTTCGCACGCTTGCCTGCAATATTACTTGGGTTCGCATGCTTTTTCAACAAAAACCTAAAAGTAGATAATTTTATTTTCTTGGATATTTCTGCGACATTAAAATTGGGTCGCACTTCATACTGATGAAAGTGAAATATCAACACCAAAGTTCCTGTAATATGTGCAATTAAAAACATGAAACCTACCTCAGACAAACTTCCAAATTCAACAAACGATACCACTATGATATGATAGAATGAAGCTAGAACTGTGAAAAAAAACTAAAATATTTCAATTTGGCTGTGAAACATTCTCATATGTACCTAATATCTCAAGCATATTTAATAATCAATACTAATCTTATTGTGTGGTGAGTTAAATAATAGTGTCAAATCTAATATAATATATTTGAATACCTATATTCAAGCAATATAAATAAATGGTACTACCGTAGTATTTGTATCTGAAACTTCAAATTATGATGCATCTGTAATTTATTTCTGTACATATGCATACCAAGATGGCGGATACCAGAACATAGTATGTGTACCAAGTTAGGGTTAGACCATAATTTCAGGTATAAATATTACGGGAATAACTTGGCTAGTCCCCGAACTCGTAATGAAACTAAATAAAGGAAAATTGTAATAAAATTATGGCCTAACCCTAACCTGGTACACATACTATGTTCCGCTGTCCGCCCTCAAGGAGCACAAACTACGGGAGTACCAAATAAATTAGTACAGACTTCAGCATATAAAAACTTATGGAACCCATAGACTGTACTGACGGAACCTAGATAATATAAACTAATATGAACAATCAATTATTTTATATTAGCAATCTGATATAAATCCAAATAACTTGAAAACCCAAACAAACAGAATGCAAAGATATCTGGAAGGCAAGCCATAATTTTAAAAGACCGGTCAACACTAGACAATATGGAACAGATGAAGAATTCACACATTCGATGGCCAGTATGGCCAACAGTGATGGCAAATTGTATGATTTAACAGGCAACATAATACAAGTAATCACCAATTCACTTTGGTTCTCAATAATTAATCGGGAAAAAAACTTAAAAAGTAAGCGAACAAACAGAATGCAGCAATACCCAGAAGTCGAGCGAACTCTAAATTTAAAAACGAACTACCCCACCTACCAACAAAAACCCGGGATTCCAATGGATTCCCAACCCGGGAATCTCAAAGTTTGAGTCAAAATTACCTTCAACTTCTCAAGTCCAAGAATTATTGTCAGCTTTGTAGTCTGAATGCTTCACGGCCCTAGATATGAATCCCAACTGATCGATTGCGAAAACAATATCCTCGAAATCTTAATAAAACCTCTTTCTTTACTAGAAATTATTGAAGCATGAACTGCCAGAACAATTCTATCCATACACACTGTAATCCATGCTGTCATTAATCGCTTTGGTGATTCCATTAGTTAAATTGAAGACAAGTCTGGCATGATGATAATCAAATTCCAGTAGCTTCCATTGCAGTTATCCTAAACTTAATTCTACTATTTACCTGAACCTATTTTATTGAAAACACAAAAAATCAAAAATTATGTCAAAAAGTGAAGATAAAAATAGTCCGGTCAATTATAGTACATTAATATTTTTAACAACAAGAAATAAATGAAACAGAGCGTGACTAGCCAGAAACATACAGGCCAAACAGACATCTGCCAGTGCTGCTATTATTCGCTTTCATATTTCTTAGCGAGATTTAGATTGAACTGAAGTAGGCAAGACCAAATAAAATTGTACGTAGTGGCATATTGATGTTTGACAGTTGCCAATAAGGATTCAACATGCATTTTTCAATACGATAATTTATATGCTTTTTGCTTTTTGGGAGCAAAGATGTAAACACAGGAAAAATGGCCACTGAGCAATGTGATTTGGCAGTATGTTTCGTAATGTTCGCCAGGGTTGTTCCAATTTAAAAAATTTCCAATTTCCAATTTCAAAATTGTCAATTTTTTTCGGGGATCTTTTCTAGACTAGGTTACCGAATGAGAGAAATTTCAAAATTGTATTATAGTATTTTATTTGCTTTTGGTAACCTCGCTTTCTTCATTAGCTTGCTAGACATAAAACACAGCAGTAAGAAAAGTTTCGAAAAAATGAATATTTCATTTGAAGCAAAACCACCAGCAAATTGGCAATTTCAATGCTAAACAGGTAAAATAAATTGTCAAATAAAATTCCTAAATTTTTTCAAAAAGCTAAGATGAGGTGGATAGAAATAATGGCAGTAAAATGATGATACATAAAATATGCTTACATTGGTATACTTCAGATTACTAATTAACAAAAATCAATAGAGCATGAATTGACAGAATTTTTGTACCATAATTGGGTATTACTTTTGCTGCCAGTTCACACTCCATCGATTTTTAGGTTGAAATGAGGGTCAAATATACCAATTAGAAAGGACATCACATTTGTTCGAATATATATATTTGAGGGTCTGCAATATTCAGAAAGCAATTTAGCATGAGGCAAATAATAAACTCTGCCAATGTTTTGAATGTCCATGCCAGTTGTTCTCACTCAAACGATGGTGCGCGTCCCCCCTCCCCCCCAGTGAAGCTAATTAAAAATAAAAATATTTGTTTGTTTTGGCCTGCTTTATTTTGGATATTTATATTTTTTTATTGTTTGGAGATTGCGATTCCATCCACCTACTTTCTGCGTGTTTTTTGAATGAAAAATATACTTTCTCGTTACTATCTGTTATTTGTAGACTATTGTCAGCTAGATATTTTTTAGGTTGGGCGCGAGACTTGTAAAATTCTAAAAAGGGGGCGCCGCTTAAAATGTTTGTAAAACCCTTATGAAGTGTATCTGTATAGAAATTCAAAACGTTAGCAAAACTTCAATCATTTGCTTCTTGCTGGTAGATAAATGTTCTGCAATATTTGTTTAATTTTTCTAAATTGTTCAGGCAAGGAATTTTTAGTTGAAACTACTTACTATAAGCAGATTTTCAATTTGCTATCTCATTACTGCAAATGTCGCGAAATTAATACTCCCGTAGTATGTGTACCAGGTTAGGGTTAAGCCATAATTTTATTCCGATTTTCCTTATTTTCGTTCTGTTATGAGTTCGGGGACAGTTTGTGTTAGCCAAGTAAATATACCCTCTGTCCATAGGTTTCAGTCCCTTTAGACAACTTGACGTAAAAATGGAAAAACAAAATTAGTTACCTCCATATTGGTACACATACTTCTGGAGCGCCACAAAATCAAATATATTCAGAATTTCAGACCATTCAAAATTAAAATCAACTACAAGAAGGATTCTATGTCTATGCTTTCCTAACAATACTTAATCTAGCAAATCAAATATTGAACATATTTAGAAACATTTCGATAAAAACTTGAAGTACAGTAAATAGGAAACAGTCAGAATTTCAGATATGGTGAATGAGAAACTATCATTTTAAGCTTTTAATGATAATTACCCTAAACTGGAAAAGAACTCAAATTAAAATGAGTAAAAGGTACATGCTTGTATCGGACTACCCAAGTCCTTCATAAATGCTAAATCAGAAAATATTACTATACTGAAAATAACTAGTATAAGAACTATTATCATTGAAAACTCGTTCGTGACGCAGTGGCAAAAAATGTTGTTCTATATCGATGACAAACAAAACCAATAAACTGAAATGCTGAAAATTTTTACCATGAGAATACCTCCTACAATAGGAGTGGAAGTGATGACTCCTCTTCGGCCCATGGGCCGGGGCCACGGCCCATCAAATTGGGCCTCGGCCCATCAGGCTATGGGCCGCGGCCCATCAAGTTGTGTAAAGAAACTATTCACTTGGCTAACACAAACAGTCCCCAAACTCATAATAGAACTATAATGTAAAAAATCTGAACAAAATTTTGCCCTAATTCTAACCTGGTACACATACTACAGGAGTTTATTTTTTGGTTCGAATATTGACAATTTTGTAAAAATTGAAAATTTTGGTAAGATAATTGAATTTTTCCTGACGGGGCCGCGGCCCATCAAGCTTGTGGCCCAATTAGATGGGCCGTGGCCCCGGCCCATGGGTCGTAGAGGAGTCACCACCCCTGTAGTACAATAGTTCCCACTGGAAGATGTTCCATTAATATAAAATTCGCCCTTAACGCTAACGTTTTTTTGGCAGTAATTTTCTGGACCAATTTTTCGTGGAAGGGATACTAATGGATGAAATTGCATGAAGATTATTTACAAAAGTCCGCAGTTTTCTTCATAAAACCAGTTTCACCAATAAAGGTTTTTATTAACTGCACTCACTACGCTGCCGAACCAGGACTTTGCAAAACTTCCCACTGCTTCTGTATATCCAGGCCGCGCCACACTTTGCTTATTTTCTTCCTTATTAGGGGAATCCCCCAAGTCCTCTTCTAAATAGGGGGGTAACTCGTCTGATCTGTCTGCATCATCGAAGGAAACAAGGACTTCCTCCCCGCTTTCGTTTTTCATGACTTGTTTCGCCGTCATTTTCCGTGTGTTATGGATTGCGTGGACAAGACTTTCCGCATGCATGTCAGATCGGGCTCGGATAGTACATCTTTGCGACGCCATGTTAAACGTAATCGAAATAACGCCAGTTACTCGTAGGAGCTCATTTGTACACTCTTGTTTTTTATCCTCCCCATCAAGTCCTTCGATTTGGAGCATTATGACTTTAGCTTTTTTGTTACCCCCCAAGAACTTCACTGGTTCTTTGCCAGCTTTTCTAGCGTTTCTCATCCCAGCCCTGGTAATAACACCACTGTTATTTTCAACAGACACTGGACGGACATTACATTTGCTTAAAAACAAGATCTCCGACGCTAATTTTTTACAATCATCATTAAAATTTTCTTTCCCAGCAATTTTGTTTAGCAAACTCTGCAATCCGACAGTATTTTGAAAATGATGAAGCTGGCGTTCGTTGCGTACCGCTTCTTGTGCAAGGTAGCGCAATGCATGCAAAGCTTCAATAATAACCACTGAAGGCTGCTCATCTGGGTCAGTAAATATGAGCAGAGAATTTACGTCGTTCCGAAGCATGTATTGACGATTAGTGTGCACATTGGCAAGCCTCCGAAGTTCTTTAACAATTGATAATGAAGTTGCCGTCGTCGCCATGATGCTGTATGTTCGATATTCACAAAAATGCTGACAGAATTATGCTATTCTATTGAACTACATTGAAAGTGCTTATACACAAGATTCAACTAACTCTAGAGACATAGAGATAAGGGGTCTGATATAGTTTAGTACCACATGCAGACATGCACTTCTAGTTGGCATGGTCAACAATTTTTGCATATGTCAATCTTAACCCCCACCCGACTACGTCACCGGAAAATTACGTCATTTCGACGTCAAGGTGGCGTAATAAGGCTCACCAAAGTTTGCGGATGGTCGTCTAAAACGCTCACCCGAAATCGAGCAAGCTATTTATCTCGTTTTCTTATCACTGGATCACGATAGGAAAGAGATCGCCGACTTCAGCGAGTTCGTTATCAGCGACGCAGATGCCATTTCGGGCTATCGTAATTTTTAATTTAGCAAGCCCTATGACGTGATGGTGACGTCGTAGTGACGTAAATTTTGGATGTCATAGCTAGGTGGTGGGGGTTAGGTATAACTGGTCACGTGTAGTTTCGTACCTAATGTACTTCTAGTAGGCGTAGCATAACAATTTTTTGATATGTCAATCCTAACCCCCATCTGACTACGACATCCAAAAATTACGTCACTACGACATCACACTCACGTCATAGAGCTTGCCAAATATACGTACGATCGCCCGGAAATGGCATCGGCGCCAACGATAAAGAACTGACTAACGTCATCGATCTCTCTCATATTGGGATCGTAGCGACTTTGGTAGCAACGAGAAAACGAGAGAAATAGCTGTTCGATTCAAGTGCAGTTTTAAGTATTCTGTGGCGTCTGCAGCTGCCTCAAAACCATGGCGGTATTTCCATACCATGGCCGCTATGGCCAAACCTATGGCGACTGACTTTTTAGCTGCCACATACCAATGACGAGCTGCCGTTAGCGCGACAGCAAATTCAAAACCAATGGCAGGTAAAATTTTGCTGCCGTAACCACGGCAGGTGGGCCGTAAAGACAGGGCTGTCCCTTATGATGACAAATATTGGGTAAGTTTTTCTTATGGATACAGTTTTGATGGATTTGGGGTTAGGGTTTAAGTAGATATAATTCCGCATGATCAATTGAAATCTGGTACATTATTTTGTGATTATACCGTAATACTGATACCGTAACTGAATACTGAATAGCGCTATAAAACCACGGCAGGAGCTGCCACGGTTCATTCGTGGCAAGAGCTGCCATGCAGTGGTAAATACTGCGCTTCGTTCAATCTCAGGTTTTCGTCTGCGCGTCTTGGATGGCAGTTTGTATAGTTTGAAAGGCTCTATTACGTCACTGTGACGTCGTAGTGATGTAATTTTTGGATGGCGTGGTCAGGTGGGGGTTAGGATTGACACATGAAACAATTGTCATGCTATGCCCACTAGAAGTATGTTAGGTACCGGTACGAAACTACATAGGTACCGGTAAGACTCGGAATAACACATGCAAAATTCGTTACCTATGCTACGCCCACTGGCTGACTGGAAATGCTCTTGGTACCGGTACCGTATTTAACTATACTAGACCCGATATAAGATAATCCAAACGTAGAGACAGCTGGGAAAAATTCGTTTATCATACCGGTACGGTGTACCGGGTACCTAACTGATACCGGTACCGCTACCGGTTACGGGTACCGTACCGGTACCACCGGCCAGTTTTACGGTACCGGTACCGGTACCGGCACAGAAATATGAAAATCCTGACCTATGCTACCAAATAGCGTATTTATTTTTCTCTCCCGTAATGATGTATAAATTATAGACACTTTAGGCTAAATATTTTGATATCAAATTAATCTAAGCTGGCATTCCATTTTAAACTTTTCCGTGGCAGAAAAATTTGACAACACGCAAAGCGAACAGACAGCATAATGAGCATAAGCTAAAAGCCCAAAGTGGTGAAATGCGAATTCTGGTTGTGTCATCTGGCGAACAAACTTTGTAGTTTTGCGAGAACTTTGGGCGCGGAGTATTTGTGTAAACCGTAAATATTTGTGGTCAGCAATTTTTGCAGGAATGCATTTACTTATATGAGATATCATTTTGAAAATGTATATTAAAGATAATAAACCTTTGTGCAAATAGATTTTCGCAAGAACGAAATTTTACGATTATAAATTTCAATGGAAAACCTACTGGGAGAAGACCTTACTATCTGTTAGTTGTGGCTTTTGTGTGCTGGATATTTTTGAGGTTAGGCGCTAGACCTGACATTTTTGAACAGTAAGATTGAAACTACCACCGTTGAAAAATAGCGAGCGCCCGATAAGGGACTTGAACCCTTGACCGTTGGATTAAAAGTCCAACGCTCTACCGACTGAGCTAACCGGGCTCACAATAACAACAAATCAGATTTGAATCTGATTCCAACTTGCTACGTTTGCAATTCTCATTTCAATTTCCCAAAGAGCTAAAGAGGAAAAATGATGAGGCTGTTTATATGGAACTATGTTGCGCCTACAACACAGCACTCACGAATTTTATTCACAATGAAGAATTTCATTTGAAATTTATTTATTAATTTTGCTCCCACTTAACACATTACTTCGTGATTGTTAACCTTAATCAAGCTATCTCGGCAAATGTAAACAAATCCCAAACGATAAGAATAGCCTAGACGTGTCGGCTAAAAAAGCTTTATATTGGAACTCACCATGCTAGCACAGTGTGTTTATGTTACACAAGTTAGACGACCGAATGATATACGTTGGTATTTTTTTTTAATCTTTTTATACTTGCTCGTGTGTGTAAGATTGGTAAATTGGGACGTGTATTTTTTACATGTTTTGACTTTATTGAAAGCTTTACCAGTTTTGCCAATAAATTTTGTGTTCATTGTTTGTGTAAGTTATTTTTTCGGGGAAATCAAACTAATTTTTTAACCTATTATATCCACGAATAACTTGAAAGGTCCTTGAAAGATTGCCCAAATTTTCCCAGAATTAGGCTTACCATATATCTGTGGCAAAAAAACGGGACAGTACGGATTGGGCAAGCCAACTTTTGTTTGATTTCGAAGCTCAATATTAGTGAACTTTTTCCATATCCTTGTGGGCAGAATACGGGCGTCAAAATTAGCTCTTAATCATATTAAATTATCCACTATTGGTTTTTGACTTCATTAAGGGAAATCGCTCTTTTACTCATTAGAATATTTTTTTTCACCTCTTGATGATTCAGCGACAGTACGGTTGGATGTTAAATTATTGCATGGTGTTCGTACTTCTTATCATACTATGGCATAACAGTTTCTATCTCTATCTAAACTAGTGAAGTAAGTTGCACAGCGGTGGTATATCGGCTGCCTCCATTAAAAGAAATTTGTATTATCATTAAATAAAAAAAATGTTGTCATACTGCATAACCGGAACATTTAGGTCAAGCGGGCGGGACAACTTGCTAAAATCGGGACTGTCCCGGCTACACCGGGACGTATGGTAATCCTACCTAGAATAATCTTCCCCTCCAGCAGATATGGAAGACCATGAGTGTACCAGGGACAACACTTTTTGAATGGAGGATTACATTAAGAGAGATTCTCTTAACAAGTACGAGATTCCGATCTCTATGCCCGTGCTCGCTCACGAAGTGATGACCGGTAAATGTAAAATGGTTAGGTCTGCGATATGTTCAATGGTTTATATCGGTTTTACACTATGGCAACCTTTGGCCTTAAAAGAGCCTAATCGAAACCGCAACATCTATTCCAATGTCAGTGGATATTGAAACTCCCGGAAAACCACTTATGATGCAATAATCTATTTCTTACTAAGAAGTAGCCTAAAATGCAATACTTTCGTCTACGAAGAGATAAAGAACTTGACAATGAAAAGAAAAAGTGTGTTCTGACAGATTTCAAATGCGACTCATTTTTACAGATCGCGACTTATACTTTCGAAACCGCTGTGACGCGTAATTAGCGTATTTGGTCCTATACCTCCCTTTTTATTGAATCCCTGCAGCTTTTGACAAAAAACTAGGGCAAATAGCGGCATGCGGCTCCGGAGCCACTGGTTGCCGATAGCTATCTTAACTAAGGAACAAGAAAAAGACTTAAAATCCAATTCTACCCATTAACCTTAACAGGAACGGTAGAGCCAAATTGAACAATTTAATATATGTAAAAGGTGCAATGTTCAGTCGCCTCACTTGGCACAACAAGGCAAATTTTGGAACAGTGGGATTGAAATATAACCGTTAGGAAAAAGCGAGCCCCCGATAAGAGACTTGAACTCTTGACCGTTGAGTTAATAGTCCAACGCTCTACTAACTGAGCTAACCGGGCGAACAATAACAAGAAGTCCATGTATCCAGGAATAACTTGTCCTATGACTGGGAAAGGTTACTTAAATTTACCCAGAATAAGATTCCCCCGCAGTAGATGAGCGTACACGGACGACACTTTTCTGAACGAACATTGACATTAAAGAGAGATTCGCCATTCCAGGTGCAATATTGGGGCTTTTACAGCTTGGCAACGACAAATAGACTTTTGTGACATCACCCAGATTATTTTGAAAAACATAAACGTCCCTGGGTGGGCTCGAACCACCAACCTTTCGGTTAACAGCCGAACGCGCTAACCGATTGCGCCACAGAGACGAGGCATTAAACCAGGCTGCACCTAATGTTTACTATGATAACGATTAATTGTATTTACCTCCTGATAACCAAAGTTAGGTGCCCAGCCTTCTTGAAGAAATTTATCTCTTTGCCTATTTAGAAACTCTTTATTCCTCCCTTACTATGGAAGTAAGAATTAGGTTGTAACAGATTGCCTACTCGTATTAATTCGTTTTGGCTTTCGTGTCCCTATATTTGCGCATTGCTCTCTTCTTAATTAAACTGACGTCAATAATATAGTAACAAAACTAGGGAATTCAGCTGAAAATTTCAAAGCAATTGATCCAGTAGTTAATAGAAAAGCGGTTTGGCACAACAACAAAAAGAAAATACAAAATGAACAAACGATCCATCGCCATTTCGTGTCCAATAAATCTCAACAATGCAACGAAAGACAGTGAAATTTAGTTTAAATTGATCTAAAATTGTCCGGGTGACAAAATTCTATTTGTCGTTGTCGAACTATCAAAGCCCAATATTGCACCTCGAATAGCGAATCTCTCTTAATGTAACCGTTTATTCAAAATATCGCACATGTTGGCAGCACCTTAAAAGTGTTCTCCGGGTGAGGTTCTTTCTGGTTGTTTCCCCGAGCATTGATTTCCTTATTTATGTCTGTAACAATGACCAATTGGGAATACGTCAACAATGACGTAACAATTGCAATTCATGTAGCCGCTCGGACACTTCTTTAGTCCAGACAGATATTGATGCATATGTGTAAGTATTGCTTTCTTATATTGATTTTGAGTTTAATTTGTCTGTTTTCAGCAGTGTTTCCAAAAATGAGTTGTTAGTTAAATAACCTAATTGCAATTATGTCTTTTGAGCAGCTTTAGTTTTGTTGAAATATATTCAAAAATTAGTCCTAGAAAAGCTGTGATTTAAAAAAAATATGATGAACATGTAAACTAGTTCGCAAGCGCCAACTCTCCTAAACCCTTTTCGAATAAGCATCAAAATTTTGCAATGGTAAAGAAGGTGTAAAATTTCAAGGGTCAAGGAAACATCCATGTCTTTCCATAACTGTTGGAGGGGACGGTTATTTTAGGCAAATTCAGTAAACCATTCACGGACATGGGCCAAGGAATAGTTCACCGGTTATTTGTCGATACATAAACTTGGGGCTGCTGCGGGCCCGGTTAGCTCAGTCGGTAGAGCGTTGGACTTTTAATCCAACGGTCAAGGGTTCAAGTCCCTTATCGGGCGCTATCTTTTCCCTCGACGATTGTATTTCAATCTCACTGGTCGTAAAATACTAATAAGGAAATTGAGATAGAAAAAGAACAACAACGGCATAATAACGAAACGATCCAAAGGTCGTCCACTTGTCCAATAAAAGTTATATACAACGCTTCAACCACTTTTTGAGTACTGGAAAAGGAAAATCGATTTGTTCCATTAGTCACAGATAGGAGTGATTTTTCTCGGCAATAACTATCATCCCAAACAAGCACGGGATTTCTCTCTATATCATGCTCTCTTTATCTATATCATGATAAATTATAGACACTTAGGCTAAATATTTTGATATCAAATTAATCAAAGCTGGCATTCCATTTTAAACTTTTCCGTGGCAGAGAAATTTGACAACACGCAAAGCGAACAGACAGCATATTGAGCGTAAGCTAAAAGCTTAAAGTGGTGAAATGCGAATTCTGGTTGTGTCATTTGCGCGAACAAACTTTGTAGTTTTGCGAGAACTTTGGGCGCTGAATATTTGTGTAAACCGTAAATATTTGTGGTCAGCAATTTTTGCAGGAAGGCATTTACTTATATGAGAAATCGTTTTGAAAATGTATATTAAAGATAATAAACCTTTGTGCAAATAGATTTTCGCAAGAACGAAATTTTACGATTATAAAATTCAATGGAAAACCTTCTGGGAGAAGACCTTACTATCTGTTAGTTGTGGCTTTTGTGTGCTGGATATTTTTGAGGTTAGGCGCTAGACTTTTAACATTTTAGAACAGTGAGATTGAAATTACTACTGTTGAAAAAAAGCGAGCGCCCGATAAGGGACTTGAACCCTTGACCGTTGGATTAAAAGTCCAACGCTCTACCGACTGAGCTAACCGGGCTCACAATAACAACAAATCAGATTTGAATCTGAATCCAACTTGCTACGTTTGTAATTCTCATTTCAATTTCCCAAAGAGCTAAAGAGGAAAAATGATGAGGCTGTTTATATGGAACTATGTTGCGCCTACAACACAGCACTCACGAATTTTATTCAAAATGAGGAATTTCATTTAAAATTTATTTATAAATTTTGCTTCCACTCAACACATTACTTCGTGATTGTTTACCTTAAATCAAGCTATCTCGGCAAATGTAAACAAATCCCAAACGATAAGATTAGCCTAGACGTGTCGGCTGAAGAAGCTTTATATTCGAACTCACCATGCTAGCAGTGTGTTTATGTTACACAAGTTAGACGACCGAATGATATACGTTGGTATTTTTTTTTTAATCTTTTTATACTTGTTCGTGTGTGTAAGATTGGTAAATTAGCACGTGTATTTTTTTTACATGTTTTGACTTTATTGAAAGCTTTACCGGTTTTGCCAATAAATTTTGTGTTTATTGTTTGTGTAAGTTATTTTTTCGGGGAAATCAAACTAATTTTTTAACCTATTATATCCACGAATAACTTGAAAGGTCCATGGAAGATTGCCCAAATTTACCCAGAATTAGGCTTACCATATATCTGTGGCAAAAAAACGGGACAGTACGGATTGGGCAAGCCAACCTTTGTTCGATTTCGAAGCTCAATATTAGTGAACTTTTTCCATATCCTTGTGGGCAGAATACGGGCGTCAAAATTAGCTTTTAATCATATTAAAATATCCGCTATTGGTTTTTGACTTCATTAAGGGAAATCGCTCTTTTACTCATTAGAATATTTTTTTCACATTTTGATGATTCAGCGACAGTACGGTTGGATGTTAAATTATTGCATGCTGTTCATACTTCATATCATACTATGGCTTAACAGTTTCTATCTCTATCTAAACCAGGGCTTCCCAAACTTTTGAGCTCGCGGCCCCTTTTGATATATTAAAATTTTTCGCGGTCCTTGTTCGCTTTAATAATGCTAAAAAGTTCAAAATATGCATTTTTGATATTTCATTGACACAGCTAACTCTTAACTTTTAAACGGGCTACTCAATAATAAAAACATCTTTACTCAGATTATTCAATGTAATGGGTGTCTTCTTCTTTCTTTCTTAACTCTGCCTAGTTTTTCTTTAAAATGCTCGAAACTCACTCATGTTTGATAAACTCGGTTCAGCAAATGAATAAACTGCGGCCAACGAAATTGCAGTATTAGGGTTTACCTGTAACGTAACAGAGAGTAAATAATTTAGAACGATAAAATGAATTTTTTTCATATACACATCATTTGCGTTAATGAGAAACAATAAAACATTTAGAATAAATAAAATTTGTGATATGTTTCGAGGCGCACTGAGCAAATCGCCTTCCGGAACCGCTAGCTTAGCGATTAAAGCATTGTTATGCAAGCAAGCAAATCGGGTCTTACGATTAGAATATGCATTGTTATGCAAGCGAGATGAATCTACCTTGTTACCCCGAAAATAAGTCCAAGCTTGAATTTTACAAATGATTTTAATACAACCGCAAAGACTTCGTCGATAGCGCAATTTGTTTACCTAATCCCGTGGAAGTTTCAATTCTGCTAGGGCGTCGCAAAATTTCATGATGGTGTTGTAATAAAATATGTGATATGTTTCAGGCGCACTGAGCAAATCGCCTTCCGGAACCGCTAGCATAGCGATTAAAGCCGGCATTGTTATGCAAGCACGCAAATCGGGTCTCACGATCAGAATATACATTGTAATGCAAGCGCAATGATTCTACCGTTTAATTCTGAAAATTCGGTTTTCTGTAGATAAAGATTATTTCTACTTGGTTACTGGAGCATATTACTGGAGGTCGTCACAATACAATTAGGTTCGAAAACTACTGAGTCCAATAGTTGAAAGAAATCTACTTTTTAAATTGTTAATAACCTATATGTAGCCGCTACTTTGAATGGAAACGTGCTATTAAATTGGTATCATATTTCAGTATTCATATTTCGTATATTAATCTCGTTATTCTCTACATCCCCCTAAAATGAGCTCCAGTATTCAAAAAAAAATTGATGAAAATGTCTTATTTTCAGGAAAACACGGTGTGATGATGTATATTCACTCGGAATCGTGAAATTATCGTTTTACACTATTTTTAATGATTGAACTTCAAATAACGAGTCCGAAAAAGTGCAATAGATATAGTACTTTGTGTAAAATTGGTGTTCTCTTCGCGGCCCCTAGAATTCGTTTCGCGGCCCCCAGTTTGGGAAGCCCTGATTTAAACTAGTGAAGTAAGTTGCACAGCGGTGGTATATCGGCTGCCTCCATTAAAAGAAATTTGTATTATCATTAAATAAAAAATGTTGTCATACTGCATAACCAGAACATTTAGGTCAAGCGGGCGGGACAACTTGCTAAAATCGGGACGTATGGAAAGCCTACCTAGAATAACCTTCCCCTCCAGCAGATATGGAAGACCATGAGTGTACCCGGGACAACACTTTTTGAATGAACGGTTACATTAAGGGAGATTCGCTCAACAAGTACGAGATTCCAATCTCTATGCCCGTGCTCGCTCACGAAGTGATGACCGGTAAATGTAAAATGGTTAGGTCTGCGATGTGTTCAATGGTTTATATCGGTTTTACACTATGGCAACCTTTAGCATTAAAAGAGCCATCCTTTCAATAGTACTCAAACTTAATCGAAACCGCAACATCTATTCCAATGCCAGTGGATATTGAAACTCCCGGAAAACGACTTATGATGCAATAATCTATATCTTACTAAGAAGTAGCCTAAAATGCAATACTTTCGCCTACGAATAGATAAAGAACTTGACAATGAAAAGAAAAAGTGTGTTTTGACAGATTTCAAATGCGACTCATTCTTACAGCTCGCGACTTATACTTTCGAAACCGCTGTGACGCGTAATTAGCGTATTTGGTCCTATACCTCTCTTTTTATTGAATCCCTGCATCTTCTGACAAAAAAACTAGGGCAAATAGCGGCATGCGGCTCCGGAGCCACTGGTTGCCGATAGCTCCCTCAACTAAGGGACAAGAAAAAGGCTTAAAATCCAATTCTACCCATTAACCTCAACAGGAACGGTAGAGCCAAATTGAACAATTTAATATATGTAGAAGGTACAATGTTCAGTCGCCTCACTTGGCGCAACAAGGCAAATTTTGGAACAGTGGGATTGAAATATAACCGTTAGGAAAAAGCGAGCGCCTGACAAGAGACTTGAACTCTTGACCGTTGAGTTAATAGTCCAACGCTCTACTAATTGAGCTAACCGGGCGAACAGTAACGACAAGTCCATGTATCCACGAATAACTTGTCCTATGACTGGGAAAGGCTACCCAAATTTACCCAGAATAACATTCTCCAGTGGCGGCGCGTCAATAGGGCCAACCGGGGCAATGCCTGGGTTGTTTTTTCGGTATAATAAAAAATATTCGAAAAATACCTCAATATCGGTTGCACAGACTGTCTACACTAGCCATATTCTCCCGACATGGTTCATTTTTCGCTCGCAAAGCCTTCGCTGAACGTCGACGGGGCGACGCCGATTTTGCCCCGGTTGCTCATTGTATATCGTATTCTCTCTTTTATCTTCCACTCGCCGCGTTTGTCTCGTTTGTTTTCTGTTTCTTTTACTAAATCATCGGGGCCGATCGGGGCTAGCCCCGAAATTATGACGACACAATGCCGACGTTTCTTACAACAACGTGCTGACATATTCACGCATTCCTTCTCGTCTCGTTCGTTGGTTGCTTGAAGAGTTGATAGTTTCCTCGCCTTCGTTTTTGTCGCTTGTTTCGCTATTTGAATCAGTTAGAGACCTTTAGTCCATTTGCTTTCGATTTTCCACATTCCTTTTGAGCTCCTCACTTCTTTCCGGCTGCGCATTTCTTAGCCTTAGACATCATAATGAATAAGGTTGATGCACTACTTCGCACTCCGTTTTCGCAGCTGCCGCTAGAACAAAAATTAAAGGTACAACGTCTTGGGCCTTATCAACCAAAAAATTGTTCACTGGAACAATCCCATGACGGAGGAAAGCGTCGGCGTACATTCTGCGCAGAAACTTGGTATAAAAAACACGAATGGTTGTGTTACAGCGAGGACAAAAATACACTTTTTTGTTTTTATTGCCTACTTTTTGCTACCGCCCGTGACTCACGTTGATGTAAATTTGATTTTAGAGATCTTAAACATCTTTCCGAGCGTGCCAGGGATCATCAATCTTCTATGAAGCATCTGTACAATGCAGTAAAATACCGAACATTCGGAAATGTTAATATTGCAGCACAGTTGGATGAAGGACGCGCGGTTTCTATTCGTCGGCACAGCCAAAACGTCGAGAAAAACCGCCATGTTCTCGGTCGATTGATAGATGTTTTGAAGTTCATTGGTTGTCACGAGCTGTCCCTCCGTGGGCACGATGAACGGGCTGGCTCTTCTAATAGAGGGGTATTTTTGGATATGGTGGAATACACCCAACGACTAACATACCATGATGCGCAACTAAAGCCTTGACCAATCAGGAGTGTCTGACGCGTTACGCTCCATTACGGCAACTTGATTTGTTAACGCCCACTCGAGCTTTCAGCGTTTTGCTGCAGTTTTATCATATCTGTTTCATCATATCTGACTCACAGGGCAGAGGTGTATAGTTAATATATTAGGTATTCGGTGAATATGGCTAATAAAGGTAAGTTTACTATTTTCATACGTTAGATATATACTATAAGTTTGTTTCCTCTTGCGGATTACTATTGAGGAAGCTACGATACAGGTCTGCAGGTACTGGTTTTATGACAGACAGAGTTTAAATCCCTCAATCAGATCCTGAATTTTCCGTTTTCCGAATAATACGTTTCCTTGGTAGTACTAGACTTATTTCCTGCATTCAGGCTAACAGTACTGGACTATGAGTTCAAAATTTATGGTTTGGTGTGTAGTAGGCAGTGACTGACAGACCCTGAGACCTGCAGACGGGAGAATTTACAGGCCTTTCATTTCTTCTACAGTACCTACACCTATATACAGACATATGTATATCCACTTACTGCTTGTTTTTACATCTCATTTCTACATTCTGACATTATCAAGCACTGTCGACCCCAGTAACTTGAAATTTTCCATATGCTGATATGCCCGTAGATTACTAATAGCTTAACACTTTTTTGAATTCTGGTAAAATGTAAAAGTTGTCGTCAAATCCAGAGTTTGCATTTCAATATTCGATTGTTCAGTTGTTTTAGATTGTGACTATGACATGTTAGAGGATCATAAACTGACAGTATGCATAGATCTTGACGAGGCAATGGAAGGAAAGTTTACCTTAAATGAGCAAAAGTAAGACAGCTATTGAAAGAGAGCTATTTCAGTATTTATTAGAATGCTTTAATATACGTCTGGCTGAGAGTGTTAGGAGAGGTTTAATACAGGACCACCAACATACTATGCATTCAATTATCTTATCAATGTATTTTCTGGATTTTATTCTATAGATAGCAAATACTTAAATGTGATAGTTTCATGATGGTCTTTTTGCTAAATAGTCTGTGATTTATAAATAGTATGTTTTATTTCAAGGTGCTCAACATGTCATAAGGTATTTTCCAGTGTGGCGTCTTTGGCAAGTCATCAACATGTTCACAAACAAGGTAAGATTTAAATAATTTATAGACTTCTACATAAATTCCATGACTAATAATACAACTTCTTCCTACAACTCAAGATAAACATAAAAAGCAGTTTTTTTCTCAATACCATGGGATAAATCTACGAAATAATTTTGCATTTTTTTTTTCAAATTTTAGGCAGAGATCATATTAGTGTGGAGGAAATTGTAGATGAGTGGAAGATCATTGCAGCCACTGTCCCTATTTCACCAAATTTGATCAAATACTTACAATTGTTGCTGAAGAAAAGTCCAAGTGATCGAATGTTATCCTTCAGCTGTGATGCAGTTAGCATAATCCCTTCACTGGAACCGAGTATTACAAGATTCACCATTCTCCAGTCTGTCAGGAAATTAATTGATAGATTCACGGCCAAAGAAATGAATAAAACAAAAGGTGTGGTTATTCTTATTTGTCTGGATTAGAGTGTGTTTAGATACCATAATTTTAGGGACATATGACTTAATGGCAAAAATTGCTTAATTGGGTTTTCATTCATACATAGGGCTATAAAACGCAACTGTTTTTGAAGCAATATTAGGTTTGTGTGTAGACAATAAAGCACTACCTGATTCATACATAGTGCGCAGCAGCTTAATAACAGCTGTTGGAACGATTTTGATTTCAAGTATTGTAATCAATGTTGCGATATCTTAGTATTACACCCCTGTTCCCTATGTTTTTCAGATATACCAGCTTCAAGTTCCATCATATTGAATGATGATGAGATCCATATTATCCAATACATTGCTGGATTCATTTTACAAAAAATGCAAAAACGATGCCGAGACCCGGAAGACTTCGAAAGAATTCAGTCATTGATCAATCCCGAACTGGACTGTTTGACAACTAGCTCAATGATTGCAGTAATGCAGGAAACAGAATATGGACAATTAACCGTACCATCACCCAGTGTCCTTGAACTATGTAAGCTGCTTGAAGTTGAATTTAGATTAAACTATGCCCATGAAGATGTTATAGCTTCAGTGTTTAAAAATTTTAATATGGAATCATTCGGTATTGCCCAAAACGAAACTGGCATGCTGGACATCTTGGAAAAGCTATGTCGCTTCTACCTGAAGATAAGGTGCCATCAAAAAGCCAGAGTCATCAATAAATCCCTCTCTTTGAAAAAGAACCAGAATTTATCCCTAAGAAAACTGATCTCTTTTCACTTTATTAGTAAGTAATTGCTCCCTACATTAATTAAACTACCTAAGTGACCTATTTTTTATATATCCTGTATTCATTGCATGGAATATAGTGTATTTTCATGACAATAGGCACTGTAAGGTGCATAATAAAAATACAGCATACTTTGAACTGTTTTAATTGTCTGATTGCCATGTATGTACGTATGACTTTGCTAGCCATAATAGTCCGGTCAAATAATATATATAATCTTTTAATGATTTTTGTCCATACATTAGAGACAAATACCACAACTGAACAAGAGAAGCGGTAATTCAATTAGTTTATTACCCCAGACCACTGCAGTCCATATAAAAATAACATAAGCAAATACAAATATAACACAGTAAATACATAAACAGCTGATACCATCACAGTAGATATTATATGTTCTTGGATACCATTTTGTGACGGTCACTCTCAGGTAGGGTTGCCAACCGTCCTTTAAGCTTCTTGTCCTTTTTAGCATTTGAAAAAGATGCTAATTGTTATTTATTCTTTTCAATGTCGTTTTTATCGTTATTAAATAATCACTTTAATTTTGCTTTGGTCCAGCTCAAATAGCCAAAGAAATAACAATTTTATTAGGATTTCAAATATTCCAGTTCAATCACTGAAAATTCTACGTATAACTAATTGGTCTTTATGACGTCCACAATCCATCAATTCTGTTTTTGTAGATGCCTGTGTAATCATGGTATGTTATCGTTTTATCTGGAAAAAAAAAGGCGAGATATAAATACGCTCGTCGGGAAGCTGATACTTGCGAAGTCTAAGTTATTTAAGGGATTGTTGCTCGAGCTAGTTCTTCTACCTGTGGACAGTTTGGGGCAGTGAGCTTTTAATATACTTCAACTTGGAAGACAAGTGTCACAAATTTTCAGAAAAAAAATAAAACGTGATCCACAATTGCTCAAGTCAGCAAAGAGTCGGCAGAAATATAACTTTAAGAAGAATTATAAACTTGTGCAACTGCAAAATTACAGCTTGTTTGGGTCAATGTTAAATAAACTTTCAAAAACACGTGAAGATTTTTGTATATAATTTGTATTTCATTGTTTTATATTGTTCTTTCCTGCAAGTTACAAAATAAATGATGGCGGTAATCTATGTCCTTTGTTGAAACTTTTCGTAGTTGGCAACCCTACTCTCAGGTCTAGAAACACAGTGAATTACGCGATAAGCATTGGTATATGAAATTTCAACTTTTTTATAATTATTGAAAAATATAAAATACAGCAATACATCCTAAATGAAAAATTTTACAGTAGGGGAACAAGTGACCAATGTTTTCAAAATAGTATTGGCTGTAAATTGATTTGTACTGACATTTCAAGTCAAGGTCATTGGACAGGAAAATGCCAAGATATTTACTGGACGAAACATATGTCAATACTCCAATCACTTTGTATTCAATTTCCTCAACCCCGGTTTTGAATATAAAAAAAAAAAAAGTACTTCAGTTGTGCACATCTGATGGCTTGTAGAGAACACTTGAACCCCTTTAAAGATTTTTCAGCGGATATAATTTGTTGGAATTGAGAATATTGGTTCATGTCAGGATTTTCATTGCTTCTTCCGATACTACGCACATGACCAAAAAAGGCTTCTAATGGATCTTGATTAACACGCTTGGTCATGATATATGACCCAGCAGGCAACAAAGGCAGAGCATCACGAATAAGACTTACAATAGCCATGGATGTCACTTCCAGACCCTCGTATGTCTGATAGCTCAGAAATTGCATGTTTTTTTCTGTTTGAGTTATTCCAGTGACAGATGATTTTCAGTTGCGTATTTCTGGGAAAAAGGTATTTTCGAGCCAAATCAGTCGCTCATCATCAACGCTATCAAATGGTCGGAGCACTTTTTTATATCCAAAATTTGGCCGAGTATTCATGATATCAAACCACTTATCCATAGACAATGCTAACCAAGAGCTCTGTTGCATCTCCGGCCCACCTCTTTGCTGCATCAATCTTGCAACAGTCTTAGATAGCACTTGGGCTGCATATTTGACACGCATTTTTGTGTAGCTTTGCAAGCACAAGTGGGATTCTGTCAATTTGCAGGAGCGTAACTCTTCGGACGAAAAGAAGGATGGTACTGCACAAAAATGGTCCCACAGAATGAACTTGCCATTTTTTTTAATAGGCGAGTTCCACCAGCGGGACTCGCAAACACATTATTCCGTACTGTTTTGAGTAAATGAGGTGGGTCGAATAGAAGGTAAATGAAATGATCTGGACTGAACACATTGATACATTTATATGGAAAAGTCAACTTCAAATTATTTAATTCATGGAACATTTTACGGTTTGCACTGAGTCCATCAGTAACGAGAGCAATGACATTCTTGGAGTTCCCCAACACTTTCCCAGAAAATGCTGGTGAGATGGTCTGAGCGGATGGAATTTGTTGCATAGAACGTCAAGGGCTTTGAAAACTTTCCAATCAAACTACGTGCATAAACTTGCAGTGCATTGTGTGCAGGAACTTTTTCCTCTGTTTTTCTCGACTCTCCCAAGTCAACAAAGCCAACCATCATATCCTTTTTTGGATTGTAGACAATATTTTCTTTAACTGAAAAAATGAAAAGGATATGTTTATTTTCAATTACACACTACTTATCAGATTTCCCTCAATTTCACACATTAAAGATTGTTTAATAATAATAATTGTACAGATTATAAATTTGGGCGCTCCTGAACTAATTCGTTCGCCAATTTACTTCAATTTGTGTAAAGGACTGAAACCTAAGGGCAGAGGTATATTCGCTGACAGTCCCCAAGCTCGTAATGGAACTAAAACAAGGGAAATCGAAACAAAATTATAGTACCTAATTTAGTAATATCGTACAGAAAAATAATCTTTTGTTAATGCAATTCAAACTCTCATTATCTAGCACGAAAACTGACAAATCCTATTAAAAGTTGGTTGAACAGATACCACAAGTACTTATACCTTTCATTTCATCCATTGACAACATTATGAGGCGCTCATGGTCAGGTTATTCAGATGCTTTCTGCTTCAACTCTTTCCTAACACTTTCTGAAAATCCTGGGTTTGTGCTGTACACATTTCTGAACAATTAGGTAACCAAATAATATCTCAACCATATTGAAAGTAAACAGCTCTTTCACTGCCATATTATGATCTATCTGTGATAAACACTTTGTACTGATTCTGATATTTACCTAACACACTTTATAAGCTGAATTCTCCAAGCATCTCAAGCTCAACCTTTAGCTATACCTTTCCTTACACATAATTGCAGTTTAAAATTGGCATTTTACTCACCTGTAATCAATGAGCGTTCGCCTACTGGGGAGAACAAGTAGACTTGAATTCCGCAGTTCATCGTAAGTGCTAGAACTTTTTAACGCCAAATTCAAACAAAACCTACAAATAAAAAAAGTGGAATGTTCAATATTACCGATAGTAAATGTGATGATCGAACTAAATCCTCAGGCATGTGCGAAAAAAAAATTTATCTCACCTAATTAAGTCCGGATGATACCGTTTTCCATGTTTCCTAGTAGCATTAAGCTTAGCTTGCTCAGACCAAAACAAACGATAAAACGGCGAAACATTTTCTTCACGAATTCCTGCCAAAAAAAGGCATTTTGAATTTATTAACAATCTTTGCTCCTCAGAAATTTCAGTCAAATTTGAAAACTTTTTATTTCTGAAATGATTAAATGTTTTTTTGTGCTGTGTTGCGCTATGAAACAAATCAATTTTAATTTTGTATAATACCACCTTTTTTTATCAATGAATTCATATCTTCTGCAATGTCAGTATCCACGAGAACATGACATTCCTGTTTCACCAATAATTGTTTAATTCTGTCTTCCAATTTATTCAGCCTGCAACATAAAAAACAGTTTTATAGACAACAATTAGAATGCAAATGACACACCCATTTGACATAACATACTCATCGTCCTTAGCCTTAACGGTTGCAATTTTTCGAGATTCCAATGAATTCTGCTGGAGTCTTTTGAGAGGCAAACAACCCTTAACATCAAAATACTTTTTTTGGCTTTCTGATGACTTCACAATTCTTTTCTCCTCTTCAAAACACTGTTTGCATCTTTTCCCAGATGAAATGAATACTTCACAATTTAGTGATCTAAAATAATGATAAGAGACATTTCTTAATATTCCTCTAAGGAAGTGCCCACATAGCAGTGTTGTCAAGTCATTTGCAAGATGACACTGTTAGTGAAGGCATAAATAGACAGTGCTACACTCAGGCAATTGAGCTATTATAGCTACTGATTCAAGTACTTTATGAGTGGAAAAATTGTAAAATTTTCAAGGAAATAACATGATGATATCAACACCAGTGGTGAACATTGTGAATACTTAAAAACAGATGGTTGAAAAAATATGTAATACCTTGAAGCAAGCAATCTAAGCTGTGGGGGCCCTTGTTCAATTTTTTTGGAACTAGATCTTGAAAAGGACACTGCAAAATGTTGACATGTTGCGGAACTGGAATTGGTGCTGCCAGTTATTCCCTCACATATGATTGATGTATGAACAATATGCAGAATATTTGACAAAGTTGTTTCTTTTACATTAATATTATTTAGGACTTCCGATGTTACACTAGTCCAACCATGATAAATGGCACTGATCTGCAACTCTGAATCAATGTTAATAGCTAAACTTGATTGTTCTGCAGCTGATTCGGACTTGAGGAAAAGTTGAATATTGTCATCTAAATCTTGGTATTTCCAGTTGGAGGGTAAATAAGTTGATGCACTTTTTTTCAACTCCTGCAAATTTTTATGACGAATTGTTTCAACTACTTTCCCTTTTTTTTGGAGAAGATCTATTCAAAGTTGGTAACTTCGAACAACTTTTCTGGGGCATGTTCATCTTGGGTATTGCACCAATTTTAAGACGCGACTGTGTTTCAACTGAAAAATACAAGAATATTACAAACATAATGTTAATTGTCGAATAAGCTTTTTATTATAAAATCAAAATATTGAACTTACCTTTTTGAATGTCATTTTCTTCAAAGTGCCTTTCACAAATTTTGACTCTGTCACGTAAATACAGGTGTTTGATATCAGAATCACCGCGAAGACCCATGACAATTTTTTCAAGCTTGTCTGCCCATACAAATTTTTCACTTGAACAAAATCGCTTAGATGGCACCAAAAATAGGGTGCAAGATTCTCTGACACTGTCGCATTGTGGAACACAACATCGATTAGTCATGCTGATGAATGATGTGAATAAATAGCCTATAATACGAATTATGCGACTCTAAAGAAAAGTACAAAATAGGCCCAGGTGACTTTAGAAAAAAAGAAGTGGTAGTCTACTTTCAGTGTTTTGGTAAATCTGTCAATACTATAGGCCTAGTGTTAACGTTAAAACAGTATAAAGATATCTATCATAGGCTGGGGTGTGTGTAGTACGGTACGGTACCTAGGCTAGGTCAGTAGGTTACGATAATCGGGCAGAATATAGAGGTGTTTCGTGAAAACATTAGGTACCTGCGCTGTCATGAAGGAAATAATACTACCCTAGTTCAAGCCAAAAGTAAAAACAAATCTAATCTCGGATTAAAGAGACAGAGTTCACTTAAGACAGTAAGATGGACAACCAACATGTGATATTTTATCCAACGTTAATTTACTGAACTAACTTAATCACATAGGCTACGCACCATAGGCTAGACTGCTGAGTTCAGAATATACAGCGAGATATTTTGCGTACGACTTCTGATCTGTAAGAATACACAACCCAATCTCTGAATCTCCTATAAACTCAGCTAAACGAACCAAAAATATCCCACCTAATGATAACGAAGCAGAAAAAGTAAAGAAACACCGCCACTGTCACCAATTCCCGCGCAAATCAAGTGATCGCAATGGAGCGTGAAGCTGCAGAAACTCGTAAAGCGAATTACTTTGTTTGTTTTATTAATGTGGGCGTGGCTTTCTGTGCTAGTTTCATCCCCCTGAATACACCGCATCCCTAGATACAGTATTGAGAGATCATCTTGATGCCGCAACTGTTTCGAAAAGGACATCTAAGGATATCCAAAATGATTTGCTCGACTCAATGTATAAAATTTATTTACAACATTTGGCTCTGGAAATTGAGAATTGCCAGTTCCTTTCGATTCAGTCTGACGAGACAACTGACATCACGTGCGTTTCCCAACTGGCTGTGATTTTTCGGTTTGTACGGCGCATTGCAGTTATACGGCGCATTGCAGTCAAGGCTAATGGATGGAGCGTCTGTGCAGTCGTGTATTTCAGACTTCTGCGATGCTGTATCTCGTATCCGGGAAACAATAAAATACGACGACACATGGAGTGCTTCTTTACGCCGCGGGCAAACAACGCAGCGTTTGATTTTGTCTGCAAAGGAATGCTGTGACATTCTGGTGAATCAAATAGGCGATCGTCTGCGCACTGAACACCTTGCCGCGTTCTCTTTGATGAACCCCAAAAATGTTTCAAAATTTGCACGTCAATTTCCCATCCATTTGTTGGCTACTGTCTCCAAATTTTACCCCATGATAAACGTGGGTAAATTGCAAAATGAATTGCGATGTTTATACACCAATCAAACTTTTTTAAACATCACATCAACTTGCGCGCTCTATGGGTTCCTCATAGATAACACTCTAGTAACTACCTTTGCGGCGTCTGCAAAATTTCTGGACATCATTTTGACGACGCCTATTTCTTCCGCCGACGCAGAGCGAACATTCAGCACGCTGAAGCGTAATAAAACGTACCTCAAAAACACAATGAAGCAAGATAGATTAAATTTCTTGGCTGTTTTATCCATTCACAGAGACGTTATTTCTGGGATGCATGACTTTAATCAGCGCGTTATTGAGCATTTTGCTTCCAAGAAACCGCGGCGTGTTGCATATATGTTCAAGCAGTAGAAGTCTAGCAGCATATATATCTATGAGTGAGCGACGCATGTCCTTATCTTTGTATAACTTTCCTTTCTTCATAGTAACGTTTTAAACCTTATTTTAGGTTTTGTCTACTTTCCCGAAGTTTCTGTTAATATGTCATTGTATTTATCTAGGTAAATATTGCCTTTCCTTTTGAAAGAGGTTTCAAAATATACTATGTCTATATTTATTAATCCCTTGACTTGGACCGGTGGACACCAACATTTGAAATGAGTCAAAAATTGAAATAATAAAAAAAGGTAACGGTAGAGAATATTAGTCATTCGAAAATATTGTCCAACAAGGGGAGGGAGGGTGAAGATTCCTGTGAAACATCACATATAATTTTAGAATGAGATAAAAAAAAAATGTCTGGGAAATACAATAAGACACAGTAGTTTTGAGAAAAAAAAAAACGGTTTAGGTTTAGCATATCAATTTGCTGAACTTCTGTATAATGGTAACTATTAATTAAATATTGTCACTTGCAAAATCAAATCGAGCTATATTTTTTATTTGCAGAAGAATAAATAAATATAAAATTACATAACTTTTAGGTACGAATGCGAAAGCAGAATTCATACTCCATGTACATCCAACATATGAGATTTGAAAGTGAGAAGCTTTCATTTTCATTCCCCAAATCATCACCATTTTATACAATTCATGATTCGTTCGCTGTTCTACATAGGTAATATATTCAAAAATTTGCATTGCACCTTATTCATCATGTATGTTTTTCTCAATATATTTCAGATGGTGATTATACAATCACAAAAAGAGCTGTGGTGAAGTTCAAACAAAGTGTACCCTTGCTAAGAATTCTTGGTTGGGAAAGTTGAATTGTGTTCTCATGTTGTTGCAATATATTTTGAACCTACTTATGTTTGGAATTCTAAATTAAGCAAAATATTATTGTGTTCAAATTTGAATAAAGAAATTGTTTCTTTTTATCAATGCTGTTGCAACCAAAGCCAGTGTAATAAGACCAGATCCCAATTTATTGTAAATTTGAGACATAACTTTCTTCAAAAAATTAACTCTACCTTAAATTTCAAATGCCATTCACTTATTAATTTCTTGCATATTACCATTATTGCAATTTATACAAATCAACTTATGTAAAATTTCATTTTTAATAAAAATAAAAAATATCATAATTTTTGTTGAGTGTTCGAGGGGTGCGAGTTTGACATCCTCTGGTCTACCGTGCTGAGAATGCATCCAAATGATATCCATGCTTCAGCCCCGATCATCTATTGAACAAATTCCACATCCAGTATGGCATTTATGCAGAGTCCCAACAACTTGGGGGATCATTCCTTTTCCTAATTTTCAATGGTAATCTTCTTATTAAAACATGATTGGTACCTAATCAAAGGTGAAATTTCTCTTTCTTGATAGCTGCTTTCTCCTTCCATATAGTTACATTCTTTTGCAGTTCATTACAATATACAATACAATTTTATTTCGATAACTCTTACTTAGCAAAGTAGTTCATTTTATAGATAGCTCTTAGGTATGTAATCCTTTTCCTCTGGAAAGTTTAGCTCCAAAATATCAGGCAAATCCTGCTCG